GGAATGAGAGAGAGAGAGAGAGAGAGAGAGAGAGAGAGAGAGAGAGAGAGAGGCCAGGTAAACAGAACGGAATGAATTCAATCAAACCTTGCAGTAAATCATCGGCACTTGTGCAGCGGTTTGTTAATATTTCCCATGTACCAATTAGCGATTTTTCTCACTGTATTGAAGAGGATACCTCCCCTCGTCCAGTAAGAAACTAATTTCTAACACAGAAATATTCTCACGCAGAGACAGGTTTCGCGATATAGATTTTCACGTATCGAATTTGCGTAGACAAATTTGCGTAACAAACCTGACGGATATTCACAGAGCCTTTGTTCACAAAATCAACAAAGCAGTTTTTCATTTTCATTTCCGGCGAATAAAATTTTAATCTATAAGTTTGATCGGATTTTTTTCGATAAAAATTGAATCGAAAAATGTTTTCGACGATACAAAATTATACACGTCGCTCTCTTTCCTTACCAACGTTATCAACACGTTGTATACGGGTGCTAAGGCGAAAGGAGGCGCGCTTTGTGATCTACTAAATATATTTCGACCAGGGGTGAATGGATATAGGGGGCTTACTTGGGGACTTACGCGTAATAGTTCCAAATAGGGTAGCATTACGCGTATCAGAAATCCATTTCCTTCCACGTTGGAAAATCTTTAATCATGTTTTCGGCTCCCTAAGTATATCCCCTTTTTGTTACTTTAAAAGAACGAATGATGTAACGTAAGGTTGATTTAAAATTGATAAATGTCACATTTAATGTTCTTTCTTTCTTTTTTCTTTCTTTTTTTTTTTTTTTTTTTGAAAAAGTATAATAATTATTCGCAAGTCACGTCTATGAACACTTTCTTTGAAAAGGATCGCTTTCTTCGTAAGGGACGTCAATGGAAATGAATTTCTTTAGGGATTAACAGGAAAAATTCTACTTCTAGAACTTGCAAGTCTCAAAGGGATATCGGTAAGTAAGAAATTCTGTCTGTTCAGTGGAATTGGAGGCGTGTTCGATAGAGTACTAATCACCTATCCAAACGACAAACCCCTACTCAGCAGTCGTATTAACAATGTATCTCAGTTGTTGGTATCCCTTAGGGATATCTTCATTACGTTCATTGTTATCAACCTCTAAGAGAATTCACAATTCCATTATGGTTGCAAATTACTTATTGGACTATTGAATTCGTTAAATTTATTATTTCTTGTATCCATCCAATAATTCATAATATAATAAAATGTTACAAATTTTTATAGTTTCTTATTCGTAGCTCCATCACTATAATAACATCGGTAATGGAGAAATATAATATCAAATAAGAAGAAAAAAGATATTAAAATTGAAAAAAAAGAAAAAAGTTCAAAATTAAAGTATTACAATACAACAAATACCTGATGGACAATGTGGACAATTTATAGTAAACAAGTGTTCCTATAACGATTTCTCTTTAAAATATAGCAGCGTACCGTTCG